TTTGCAATCAGGAGAGACACCATATGGGACAGGGACTTTGATGCAGCCTCCCTAACTCAATCACTCATATATTTGGTTGCTTGGCTATGGAAAGGTCTCTGCTGAACAGACTGAGCTGTTTCTCTTTCTTACCTAGAGGTGACCGAAGAGGGGTGTCTAAGGGCTACTGCAATATTAAATAATAATCAAGATCACACAAGAAATCAAGGCTGAGGGCCCTGGCCCAGCTGGAGTTGCCACCTGTCCAGGGTTTCAACATGCTGTTTGACAAGCCCTGATTTTGATGATCTGAGAAAAAAAAGAGGCAGAACAAAGGCAGGACTTGGGGGAAGAAGCTTCAGGGGGTGGCCAAGTTCGTCTGTAACTGGAAAAATGTAAAAAACAACAAATAGTCTGGCAGCACTTTATAGACTAACAAAACATGTAGATGGCATTGTGAGCTTTTGTGGGCACAGCCCACTTCTTCAGATGACTGAAGAGGCAGCAAAGGGGCGGAGCATGGAGGAAGAGGCAGAGAAAGGGCGGGGCCTCTAGGGTCCTGTTGCCAGACATTAAAAAGGTGACAATCCAAGGCCCAGCCTGGGTGAAGCCATCACACGGACTCTGCCAGGACCTACCTGGGCAGATGTTAACTTTGAGGTTGTCGACGATATGAGTCATGGTGCTAAAATCCGCAGAGTAGGAGTAATGCTGCTCCACCGGCTCAGAGGCGATTTGTCTCAGCTCCTCCTCGACAGCTTTTCCAACCCCGACGGCGAACATGGTGATCCCTGCGCAAAGGAGGGAAGGGTGGTTCTGTACGAGCTGAACATGCTCCACCAGCATCCTGGGCTCAATGGCTCATGCACGCAGGGTGGGACCATCTAGAATCATCGATCAGCTGTGCCGGTGCTGCCACAAGGCTCGTGACCATAAGGCCCTGGGTGCTTCTGGGAGCATCCTTTGAATGTGGCAGCTGTGTGGATGGGCCAGGTAGCTGGGGCTAAAAGCAAAGGCCTGGTCAAAGTGGCCAGTCCTTCATTTTCTCTGCCTCAGCTATAAGCTAAGATGGGTGTTATCCAGTTGAGAGCCAGCAGGTTACATGTACCAGGGACCAGGAGACTCAGTGTGCTGAGAAGCCACAGTCCTTGCAGGCACCCAGGGAACAACCCCAGCAAGGGGCAGCTGTGGCAAACTGGCCTGGAATGCTGGGTGCATGAAGAGTGCCCCTGAGTCCCACCCACACAGAGCCCAATGTGTTTTGAACCTCTGGTTCGTCACCCTTCCCCACTGCACCCTCACCTGACTCCTTTGCTTTCCGGGCCCATTCGGAGATATCATCCTGCGAGCGCCCATCGGTGAAGACCAGCCCAATTCTGGGAATGTTCTGGGAGAGGGGCCTGGCCCCTTCGGCCTCAGAGAAGCTGTGCTCTAGCATGTGCTTGAGGGCCAGGCCGGTCATGGTGCCCTTCTCCATATACTCCACCCTCAGCACCGCCTTCTTGATGTCTGCTGCCGTCCTATACTGGCTGAGTGGGAACTCGGTGCGCACGCGGCTGGAGTACTGGACCAGCCCCACCCGCGTGCCGTGGGGCGACACATCCAGGAAATCCACAATCTGGTTCACAAACTGCTTCACCAGCTCGAAGTTCTGCGGCCGGACGCTCTTAGAGCCGTCGATCAGCAGCACCAGGTCGACATGGCCGCTCTTGCACTCTGCGCCGAAGCAGGAAGTGAAAGTTTTTAGAGGGCACCAGCTCTGCCTCCCGAGGGTACCAAGGGAGGCCTGAGAGTGGGCAGATACCGGGGTAGGGTGGAGCAGAGTTCTGGGACTCAATACGGATTCTTCCCTCTGCATTCACTGCTGAGCTAGATGCGTGGGCTGCAGGAAAGCAGGGCAAAGTGCAACTGGAAAAGATGTGGCTACACAGTCACCGCCCTGCGAAGCAAGGTGGGTGAGGTGATTATCTCTGCTGGACCAGCTTCTGAGAGAGACAAGCTTTCCAGCTCACAGAGCTCTTCTCCAGGCCTGGGCAAGCGCTGCCTGGCTCGAAAGCCTGTCTCTCTCACCCACACAAGCTGGTCCGGTAAAAGATATTCCTTGCTCGCCTTGAGTCCGTAGCATCCTGCGACCAACACGGCTACAACAGCACTGCAAGCAGCCCGAGAATTCCACTCCGGCCTTCTGCTTGGCCTCGGTGGTTCTAGGGCACCCTGGTCGAAGCCCCCAAAACTCCCACCCCCAATAATTCCCTCTGAGGGCTCTGTGCTTCCCTCTCATCCATTGCACATCTCCAGCCCACACCTTGCTCTGCTGCTTCTGTCCCTCTGACCAAAGAGGACCAGATGGTGCCTTAACCCTTCCATTCAGAGACAAGTCATCGCTTCTCCTTTGTCAGCCAAAGGCTTCTCTGTCTTTTCCCAGGGGTCCATGCTAGCTTCTCCAGCACATTCACCCCCTTGTGCCTCACATCTCCCAGTTCTCTCCTAACCTTTCGTGTCCAATCCCGCCAGCCTCAGGGCTGCGTTGTTATCCAGCATTTTCCCTGTATGTTCTAATGAGAGAATGCCCCTGGAATTCCTGTCGCTGATTGGGCTTTGGAGGTGCCAGGAGCAGAGATGAGTCTGGAGCAAAACCCCAAGATCAAGCATTCCTGAACCTTAGGGTGGTTTGAAATTCCCACCTAGATCCAGGTTCAATTTCACATCTTGAGCTGCCCAGACCTCATGGGGAGCACAGTGAGTCTAGACGCCAGTTGCTACAGACCCAAGTCCATACATTAAGGGCACAGCATGCAGACCATGTCATGGATACTCACTGTTGCATGTTTTCCCATCTGCCTGGAGCTGCTGTCCCTCTGGGCAAATGCAGTGGTAAGAGCCAGCAGTGCTGACACATTTAAACTCACAGCCGTGATCTATCCCATTGCAAAAGTCAGTGGCTAAAACACAAACCAAAGGGACAAAGACACCCTGTTACAGGACATGACATTACCTGTGTGGTGACCACAAAAGTGCCATGCAGAGAACAACCTCTTCTCAGATGGGTGCTCAGTGGAGCTGCTGATACACCCACCCCCACCAATGGGAGAGGCAGGCCACTGGCTAACTTGCCGGGAAGCCGGTCCCTGGGCAGTTCAGTGGCATGCTCTGCACTGACAGCTCTCGTTCAGCCCAATGGAACTTGGGGTTTGTGCCCCACAATCCTTGGGTGCTCAGAGCTGCGGCCCACATTTGCAGAAATTAATTCCTCTGAGGGCTGGAAAGGAATCAGAAGCGCCACCAGCAACACATCTGTCCCTCAGATATGACCTCAGGGCACACCCTGGGAACCAGTGCACTCGCTAGGTGCTGGAAGGGCATTTAGGAGCCTCACAGGCAAACGAGCACCTTGACCCACAGGACCCACGATGGTGAGACTTGCTGGGATTCTGAGGGGAGCCGCCTGCCTGTGCTGGCTGGAGTGAGGGCGGCCTCTGCGGCAGAGATGCCGATGCAGCGCTCACCTCGGCATGCCTTGCCGTCAGCCTGCAGAGTGAAGCCGTCACGACAGCGGCAGTAGAATCCGTTCAGGATGCTCACGCACTCGTGCTGGCAGCTGTGGTTGCCAAAGTTGCAGTAATTAATCACTGGAAAGAGAAGGAGACGTGTTGGAATGAGAGACACCAGCTTCCCAGAGCTCGCCCGTGAACCTTGCAAAGAGCTCAGAAGCAAACAGGGTTGCCAGATGGTTTAACTAAAAATACCGAACAACCCCCTCCCCCCCAAAAAACCCCAATACTGTTGAGAGAGAAAAAAAAGGGGAGACCAAAGTTGTTGCGCAAAAAAAAAAAAAAAAAACCATGACAATTATTAAGCCAAAAACTCCAGCATCGCTCCTCATGGAGAGGCCCAGGAGCTGGGGAGGGAGAGGGGTCCAGGAGTGACTGGGGGCTGGGCCCTGTTACTGAGTTTCATTGGGTTGCCAGGTGTCTCGTATTTTCGCTTCCTGGTATTTTAGTGTCCGGTATTTTCTGATTTTTTTTTTTACCTGACAGGAGGCAAAAATACTAGACTGTCCAGGTCAACACTGGACTCCTGGCAACCCTAAAAGCAAAATGGCCTGCTGGGCTTGTCCCCAAGGTGGGCAGCACAGGTCTTGTATCAGCTCTTTGCTGCCACTTGTCCTGAGGTTCTACAAGGCTCTGGAAATACGGGGCTGCCACAGATGTCAGGAAGGAGCCAAAGGGAGCAGAGCCCATGGTCTGGGAGAAGTAAGAGGGGGCAAATGCTGGAGAGAGGGAGGACTGGGCTGCCCACAAAGAGAGGAGGGTGGGGGGAATAGAGGACACCGGGGAAAGGAGGGAACGTCTGGGGCAATGAGGGGATGAGGCCAGAGAATGCAAAACAAGAGGAGGTGGCATGGAGGAGACGGCTACGTACTGGTACAGGTCTTTTTGTCCTGGTTGAGCTCATAACCCATCCGGCAGCGGCAAGTGTAGGACCCACGAGAGCTGACACACTGGTGCTCACAGCCGTGCTTCCCGTCGGCACAGGCATCAATGGCTGCAGAGGAAAAGGCACCACCTTCTTACCCAATCCTTCACTATCTCACTCCTCAGAACCCCCCCAGAGAGCCTCTCCCCCCCTCTGCCCTCCTGGCATCGGAAAGAAGAGGCAGCCCAGACAGTACATTTCTCAAACAAGGATGGGGAGGCATCTCCCACAAACTCACAGGCAGAGCTGGAGTCGCTACTGGGGCTAGAGAGATTCAAATGCTGCTCAGCTGATTAGAGCACCCACAGCCTCCCACAATGGGCAGCATGTGTTTCTGTTGGTGATACTCATCCACACATGCCTGGGTGCACACAACATTTATTCTGCACATGGATGGAAAAAATTAGAGGAAAAATTGTCGTATAGTCTTAGGGATCGCTCCCAAACACACCACCAACGGGGCAGAAAGACAGGACCAGGTGACCATTGTGGGATTATGCATTTACAACCCACTTCCAAAGCACAGGGCCTCGGTAGTTTGTCTTCTGCTTATCTGAATGCACATTTTCCCCTCCCCTGCCCTTGATCAGGTGACATTGTGCAGGGATCATGTATAGAGTTCCCATGTATTTCGGACAAGAGCCTATGTCCCCATTCAACTTGCTCTGCCTGGATCTCAAACAAAAAGATGCCAGAGCTGTTGGTGATTATATTTCAGATAAATCATTCCTACCTCAGTAACACAGTTATCACCTGGCAATAGAACGAAAGCTAGTTTGCTGGCATTCCTATTGCTGTCAGCAAGGATCCTTAATGCAGACCTAGCCATATGGTCATAAGGTACTAATAGCTCATTAGCACTTGTACCTACATCCTGCACAACACCAGCAAGTTAATCAAATGGGCTAGTGGGTAATGCATTGGACTGGGACTCAGGACACCTGGTTTTTATTTCCTGCTTTGCCCCTGCCCTGTTGGGTGACCTTAGACAGGTCTCTTTAGCCCTGTGCCTCAGTTTCCCCATTTATAAAGCAGCAATAATGTTACTGGCCTCCTGTGTAAAGCACTTTGAGATCTAAGATATAAACACAGATCACATAAAACGTGCTCTTACGGGAACATGTCTTTCCATCTGTGTTGAGCTTGTATCCAGGGTTACATTCACAATAGAAGGAGCCCGGGATGCTGACACAGGTGTGCTGACAGCCATGGTCCATCTCTGTGCACATATCCACACCTGAAAGACACAGTTGATCCTGCCAGGCATTCATTGACTCAAGTGATCTACCTAAGATCTTATACTGCCCCCATCCCTCCAGTATCTGTTGATGGTGTTCAGGTCTCCACTATCAGTGGGTAGAACTCACATTCTCAATGTTTTCATCTTCAAAAGCATCTCAAGTTGACACACAGACACACAGAGACCACTCACCCACCACTGGGGGACATGAGAGCTGCTACCAGCACAATGGGCCCTTAACAGCCCCACAAGTTAGCGACTGTTTGCCAGAGTTCTCCAAGTTACTGATGCTGCACAGTGCTAGTTTTAGGATTTCTTCACCTAAACAAGGTCTTGGGGCTCTGTATCTTGAGACAAAGGATCTAAGAAATGTTCCAAATTCAGCTGAGCCCCTGAAGCTGGGAAAATCCACAGACACAATAAGATTCAAGGCTTGTCTACATGCAGATTTACACCAGTTGAACTAATCATGTGACTTTACACTGACATAAGTAAACCAGTGGAAAAGTCTGGGTGGATGCTTTAATTTCAGTTTAAGAACATAAGAAAGGCCATGCTGGGTCAGACCAATAGTCCATCTAGCCCAGTATCTGTCTTTCAAAAATAGCCAAGTCTTCAAAGGGAATGAACAAAACAGGGCAATAATCAAGTGATCCATCCCATCACCTAACCCCAACATCTGGCAGTCAGATGCCAAGGAACACCAGCGCATGGAGCTGAATCTCTGATCATCTTAGCTGATAGCCATCAACGGACCTATCTGTCATTAACATAGATCTGCCAGTTATAGCTTTGGCCTTCACAGCACCCCCCAGCAATGAGTTCCACAGGTTGCCTGTGCCTTGTGTGAAGAAGTGCTTCCTTAAACTAGGCTTACTTTGGTTTAGGGAGGCAGTGTGGCCTAGCAGATAAAGCACCAGTGACTCAGAAGACTGGCTTCTAGTCCTAATTGACACTGACCTGCTAGATGACTGTGGGCAAGTCACCCTCCTTGCCAAATGCTATGAGATTTACTAATGTGTAAGAGCTGGGTCTCATTAACTGCAGCAATTGAAGCTGAGCAGATAAAGGCTTAAGCTAACCTGCAATGTGTCAGTCTTCTGCTCCAGTTTAACCAAATCAGTGCATGTTTGTGCATAGACGAGCCCTTGATTCAGCTCTCAAGGTAGGGAGGCACAGGGAACGGGAGAGCAAGCTGTGGAGGCCAGACACTGGCTCACAGAGGCTTCAGGTTTCCCACAAAGAAAAGCCGACTGTGTCCTTTTCCTGCACAGTCCCCTTAGACATTGCAACCAAGCTCACAGCAACTGGCTGCAACACAAGGTCCCAGGCAAAGTCTCCAAGGTTCAGTGTTGTCTGTCGACACAAAAGGGGCAAGCAGGCACCAGCCTTTCCCATTATTGAGCTGCCACAGCGCAAAGCAGCTTGTGATGGAAACAAGCCTTCCCCCCCTCCACCCCATTTCAGGCCAAAGCCAGCAAGGTGATTGCGAGGAAGCAATGCCGGCCAGGCTTGGTCAAATACTGATGCACAAATGGGAAGAGTGCAGTTACTGCCCTGCGCATGCATACGAGGAAATCTGCCCATCCAGAGTGACACAAGGCAAGCACGATCCAAGCCTTGCCTGAGGTCTCTCAAATAACTGTTTCTGAGCGGGGGGGGGTGGAAAGAGCTCTATGCTTCTGTGAGCTCACATCCCTAATATCAAATGCAGCTCAGAACTCTGACATAGAGCAGATCTAGGGGGTGCATGTGCTGGCTTATGAAATGTTTGGAACCTTCCTTTAAAAATATGTACAATAAGGGGAAAGGGTGAGAAAAGGACTCCTCGTAAAGGTCCCTATCAAGGAGTCTAGCATGAGTGTCATCGCCTCGTTGTCTGTAGCAGCTTCTCAAGAACATCAGGGCTGTGTCTAGACTGCATCCCTTTTTCGTAAAAGGGATACAAATTAGACAAATCGCAATTGCAAATGAAGTGGGGATTTAAATCTCCCCCGCTTTGTTAGCATAAAAATGGCTGCCGCTTTTTTCCGGCTCGGAGCTTTGCCGGAAAAAAGCGTCAGTCTAGACGCGGATCTTTCGGAAAATAAAGCCTTTTCTGAAAGATCCCTTATCCCCACTGGTCCCACAACAGGCTGGGGCTAAGGTTCTCCCCCTTCACTCACCACACAGCTTGTCTTGGAACTGTTTGCCGAACTGCTGGATAAGGTCGAAAGACTCCACCAGGAAGACATGCTCCTCCAGCGGGTGGGAGGCCATGGCCCGCAAGGAGTTCATGTCTGCCCGCTGGACGCCCACGGCATAGATCTCAATGCCAGCACCCCGGGCCTGGGCTGCCACCTCTGTCACGCGGTCCTGGGGCCGCCCATCCGTCACGATGACAGCCACCCGGGGGATCTTCTTGTGCAGCGGGCGCGCTCCCTCCTGGACGGTGAAGGCCACGTTCATGGCATACTGGATGGCGAGCCCCGTCATGGTGCCCTGGGCCAGGGGCACAATGCTGTTGATGGCTTTTTCCATGTCAGCCCGCTTGAAGAAGGTCTTGAGGGAGAAAACGTTCTGCACCTGGCTGGAGTACTGGATCACCCCCACCCGCGTGGCATTGGGCCCCACCTCCAGGTTGTGGATGATGTCGATCATGAACCTCCGCATGGTCTCGAACTCGAAGGGGCGCACGCTGCGTGAGCTGTCGATCACAAACACCATGTCCAGGGGGCCAGTCTTACATTTTACCGCTGGAGGAGGAGAAAGCAAAGAGCTGGTTGGATCTCCCTGCCTTTCTATGGCTGGGGAGGTGGAGGGCGCAGGGTTTATTCCTTCTCCAACCCGGCCGCATAGCAAGAGCCCCTGCAGGTGTGATGAGGGGTGGGGATAAGAGATCAGGCTTGGTGCTGCCCCTCGTATCTTGGAGGTAACAGTTTCATGGAGATAGCAGGAGTCACGGAAGAATGGGATCAAAATACACACTGAGTCTGGAACTCCTCTGAGCTCCACACCATTACCACGGAGGGGGGAGACAGGATGTCAGCAGAGGATGGAGGAAATGGATGTGCCAGACTGGGTGAAAAAAGAGGGCACTGCCTGTCGCCATGGGAAGGTTAAAACTTGCCCTGGGCTCCCTGAGTCCCCCCCGATCCTAGGGATGTCACAGAGTCCTTAAGTGCCCAAGGTCAAGGGGGACCCCAAATGACCTCACAGAACAAGGGATTCCCAGCAGCTGTGCTCTTGCTGCATTGTAAACAGGACAGCCATTCATGGCGGCATGGCGGGAGAGACAGCCATTCATGGCGGCAGGGCGGGAGAGTGGAGGTCACACATGGAGTCATGTTTGGTGGAGACGCCTGAAATCCCTCCGCCCAGTGTTTCACCCTCTGGGACAGACCCTCATTTCCAAGGGGAGCTCAAAGCTTTCCTGGCTGAGCTCGCCAGGAAGTTTCTGATGCCTCAAACTTTCCTCCCGGCACCTGCCACCAACAGCCTGGGGGCTGAGATTTGGGCTTGTGAAGGATTGTAAATGAGAGCATCCCGGCAGAGCCAACACAGGGACGCAGGCTTGGACTGCCCAGATGGACCGACGAGGCACCAATGGGGCTCATGCATACTCCCCTGGCCTCTCCTAAAACCCAAGCACTGCCTGTTCCAGAGACAAGTGGAAGGAAGGAGACCAATCTGCAGCCACTAGGGTCCCTACAGAGCTAACCCTTGCCCCAGTTTCAACTCCCACAAGCGGAGTCCCCTGGGCCTGTTGCCAGAAGAGCCGTGTAGTGAGGATTAGCGGCCTCTCTGGATGTTTGGCTGACTCGAGCCCTGTTAATGCTCCTCAGCAAATCAGCTCTAACAACACGCCTGACAAATCTCACGGGCAGTGCTGGAGCCGTGCCCGGGAGCTTCAGGAGGCAGAGCTGCTCAGCAGCTTTGGGAAGGGTGATTCCGACTACGTGGAAGTGGCTCTCTTGGTCCTGGCAGCTGAATTCCACCTCAGCTCCTCCAATCCCCAGTCTGCTGTTCACACGCTTTATGCTCACCTGGGCTGCTCAAAGCTATGCCTAGCTGGCTACGGAGCACCAGGCACACCCCTTCCATCCCTCAGGGGAGTGTCACAGTCTGCCCTGGCTTTATGCTATCCAAGGGATTTCCCCACCACTGGGGATTCCTGAGCTGACTATTTAACCACCTGCACGCAGGGGCCACCGCAGGGCTCAGGAGTCAGGATTGGGCCCTTCCTCGATCTCATCAGTAAGCCTTCGAGCAAGAGCTCTTCCTCCCTGTCAATTTCAAACAGGCCGCTGCCGGGAGACGGAGGGTGGGGAGGGGCAGCGGTTCCAAAACGCCTGGGACTCGGGTTGTCGCTGCTGCGCCCGGAGCCCCAGGCCCTTTGAATGGCCCCCAGAGTGCCGTGTGGCACACACTGGCCAGTTCTAAGGGCTGCGGAGGGGCGGGGGCAGCACAACACGGTGTGAGCGACAATGAGGGACGGCTCGGCTGCCCGCCCTTTCTGCCCCAAGCCCCACCCCTTCCCAGAGCCCAGAGCCGCCTCCTCACCACCTCACCTTGCCCAGAGGCCCAGCACAGCTGTCAGCTCCCCTGACTTCAACTAGAAGTTAACCCTTTGTTTACTGTCCCAGCTGTCAGTCTATCTATTATTCACCCCATTCTGTCCCAAGGAGACTCTGATTTGCTGCAGACTCCCCATCCGCCTGTCTGTTTGTCTATCTACTTCTGCCAAAGCATTTAAACTACTTTGGGGGGCAATCAAACCGGTCCAGACTTTCCTGGCTCCTTGCTGTGAGCAGTCATTTTAGGGAGAGGTGCTGACGTTTTTGCACCGGCTCATGGGGTCCCAATATAGAAAAGCATGTTCCAGTGCTTGTCTGCTTGGGCCCTGACAACGAATGAGGCAGCCGCCCCGAGCAGTTTTGTCTGGGGGTGAGATGGTGTTGTTCTTTGGAGCCTACAGTTTGCATACAATAAAAGCCTGCACAAGTAGGAGCACTTTGTTGTTCTTTCTAGTGCAAGCATTAAACTGCAATAGTGTCAATGAGGGTAATGCTTTTATTCCCTTTAACGTCAACATTGCCTGGATTTTTATCAAGCTCCTGTTTTGCAGGCATAAAACTTGGGATGGACTTTTCTCACCTCAGGCAAATGCTGCAGTGGGACTGGGAGGTCAGCCCTCATCTCTGTCTTGCTCTTGGAGTTTGCTTGTCTCCTTAATTACTGAAAAAACATCAAATAGTCTGGTAGCGCTTTAAAGACTAACAAAACCTGTCGATGGGATCACGAGCTTTCGTGGGCACAGCCCACTTCTTCAGATGACCGGAGTGTTGGTCTAGGACCAAAGTACATCCAACACTCCGGTCATCTGAAGAAGTGGGCTGTGCCCACGAAAGCTCGTGATCCCATCGACAGGTTTTGTTAGTCTTTAAAGCGCTACCAGACTATTTGTTGCTTTTTCAGTTTACCTGTACAGACTAACTTGGCTACCCCCTGAAGCTCCTTAATTACTATTACTCTATTAGGAAATGTGGTGTCCATGATAGGGGAGGCAAAGAGTTTTTCTGGTTCTTTACCTGTTGCTCAGGTCATTTACAAAGTCTGATTCTGCTGCGCTGATGAGTTTGGAAGCAAGAGCTAATGATTTACGGGACTCTTGCTCACTGTATAGGGTCTCTGTTATTCTGACTTACACACACATGTGTCTGAGCCAGCCAGGGCTTTGGCTCCTTGCTTATGATTTGCATAGCTTTGGCCAGCTGCTCACCTGCAGGCTTTGGTCTGGCTTCTAAGGTGGTTAAGAGCAGCAGGAGAAAAGGGACAGTAAGTAGCAGCTTCATCATTCAGCTCCAAGTCCACACAGCCTCTGGAGGTTAGAAGGGTCACTGCAAGAAGAGGACAGAGAAATCACAATGCTACTCTGGGATGTCATATGCAAATACAAACATACACTGGGATCTTAAAAGCCAACAACAGTCACTATCCTAGCCCATGGTGAATGATCCAAAGTATCAACCAGGAAGATGGATGCAGCAGCATTTCAAAAGGCTTATCTGGATGTTAAATATGGGAGAAGGTAGGAATTTAAGCCAGTGACAGGGTGGAGAAGAGCGGCAGCCAAAAACCAACAACAAAAGTTAAAGATAAGCTTTCCAAAGAGTAGGTAATTCAGGCACACAGTTCCAATGCATGTTAATGGGAACTGGTACCCAAATCCCTTAGTCAGCTTTCAAAGCCTCAACCTAGAGCACCGGCAGTAGTTTTAAACCGACACCTAAATTCCTCTTCACACATGGGTGAGTTTTCCCATCTGTGGTTTAGCAACATCACTGCAGTTAAATTCCATTAGGTGTTGGGGCTGATGCACCAACAGAACAAGCTCCGTTGGATTTGCAAAGCGTGTGCCGAGCTGACAGTCAGGCAAGCCTTATGGCATAAACCGGGCAGACCAGATTTATTGCCGAACACTCGCTCAACTGGCTGCACCACAGCCCTCTCGAGCCAACAAGGGAGGAGGAGACCTGTATCAGGGAAAGTGAGACAGTCCTTATCTAGTCACCTTCTCTTCTCAGAGAAGAGCATCAGACTGGACGGAGGGACACTGGTTGTGTATGAAGCACTCATGAATGAAATGCCAGCCCTGCCCCATGCACTAGGTGCTGTACATACATAGAGAAAATTGCTCCCTGCCTTGAAGAGCAAGGGCCACCATCCGTTTATGCCTATCACCCTTCCCCACAGAATCCAGCAAGCAGATGCTACCTCATTGAATCTCTAGGGTTTTTCTGCTGTTTCTTCCTGAGATAATTCCTTGTTTGCCTTTCTACTGCACCCTCTGTGCTCCGATATTGATTTTATTTGTCTGATGCAGAAAACTGGGTGTTCGGGCTCTTAGGGGGGAAAGATATTTGGTTTGCTTTTTCAAAACCTCAGGATGTAATGCCCACCCCCATTTTTCTCCTCCCTGAGTATGTGAGTTCTACACTGCATGTGCCCATCTCCTTTGGGGATCTTTATTTACTTCTTTGCTTGTATTAATGTAATCATGGTGCTGTATGAGTAAAATAAATGAATAATCCTAATGGCCAAACAATAGGGCTCTCTATGCTGGGGAAAAGCTTAATAGGGAGCAAATAGCTAGATACCCTCAGAATAACCTGACTCTCCCCTTTCTGGATGTGCACAGTGAAACTCAAACTCTGCTCTAGCCCTGAATCTTTCAATGCACAAAGGAGCTCTCTGTGCTGAGCTCTCTGCGGGCAGCACATTCCATCCAAGAGGAGGCAGGGAGACCCCACATTCCCAAACAGGCAGGCCAATTTGGGAGAGCAGCTCATATCCCCCACAGGTCCCCAGGAGGGCTGCAAATGGCCATTAAAATGCAAATTGCAGCACAGCGCAAAGCAAGGAATGCAGCAAGAGCAAAGCAATGGGAGACAGAAACAAAATACAGGACTATGTAGCACTTTAAAGACTAACAAGATGGCTTATTAGACAGAAAGGTATCACAGCAAAGGCGGCAAACAGCGAGATCTGGATGGACAGAGCCCGGTCTGTCGCGGTCTGTTTGCATGTTATCCGCATCGGAGCCATGCAAAGGAAATACCAGGCAACGCTCAGGAAATATCACTTTAAGGAGATAAAATAGAAGTCTTAAGACACCATCTCTTTGGAATACGAACAAATTGTGTAAGTTACCTCAGCCCTGGAAACTGAACTAGGGCCTCTCTGGCTTTTTCTCAGATTTAGGATCAATCCCTTTTTTGGGATTGCTTTAGAGAAAGGAAGGTTGGTTAGAATAAGTTCTGAAGGCCATTTAGGCCTGTCGTTCATGGCCAGCCGAGGTAGATACATTACTGGCTTTGCTGGGAGACACAGCCCTGGGACTAGAGGATCATACTCCAGGACTGGTGCCGTCTGGAATCATAGAAAGTTGAACTACGACACACCAGGGAACTTAAGAAGTGGCAGGTTTCCAGACATGGACCATGCCAAAAGTGCTGTTGGTCTGAGTTAACATGTAAGTCAGGTGATAAATCCATTATCTGGGGGATGTTCTCCCTGCCTAATGATTAAAGGAGAACTTAATTACAGTAAGGGTGAGACTCTGCTCATTTCATCTAATTACCAAGACAACAAAAACACTACAAAAATATTTAGGGCCCAGATTCTCAGGAATGCAACCCTGCTTTCAAGCATGGGCGACTGGTAAAGGTAGGGTTGGGAGGGGCAGGCCCCTAGCCCCACCTAGAGCCCCACCCCTTCTGCTGAGGCCATGCTTCTCTACCACAGGGAGCGGAGGAGGCAGGGCAAGATGCAGTCCCCCCCACCACACAGGGAGGGTAGGCGGTGAGCATGTGCGCCCCAGCCTCCCTGGGCCCCAGAGCACCGGGGAGCCAGGAAGGCACGTGGCTCCAGCCTCTCTGGCCCCAGAGCATTCAGGGGCAGCAATACTCCTCCCTCAATACACAGACAGAAGGTGCTCTGGGAGCGGAGTGTGGGCATGGCCTTGCCTGGTTGTTTCCCCCTTCTAGGCTACTGGATGCCCATGCTTTCAAGCATGAAAACCATGTGCATTTGTATCTCTAATCTCAGCAGATATTTACCTGGATCATCTGTGCGGCTGCAATAACCAGCCATGCAAATACTCTGAGAGTCAGCCAGTGAAGAGTAGAACTGAGCTATCTTTCCCTTTAGAACCCCCATGGTTCCTATGCCAGTCCACATATCCAGGACAGAAATCAACAGCAAACTTCCTGCAGCTCGGAAGATTCTTCCTGCGTATGTTACTGCACAATTCTTTTTTCAGGAGAACACCTTTTTACTGCTTTTTTACCTTACTCTGAATCATTTGCCTCTCTAACCTTTGTGGGAGACAGAGTATCAGAACAGATAGTCCATTTGATTTCATTCTGAAGGGCATCTCCTATTCACCCACACATTGGAAATCAATCTCCTCAAGTTGTTGTGGAGCAATTTAGATTTACGGCCCCATCTTGGAAAATATCAGTAATAAACTACCTCCCTGAGAGAGCAGCAACACCACTTACAGAGTCAAGATGCTGAAAAAATGCTTTTTTAGAAAGTCATTTAAAATCTAATCAACAGTAAATATTTATTTAGTGCTCTAAGGTCATAGACATAACTAATCTCTTGAATGTTCTTTTAACCACCAATATACAACCATTGACTCAATCTCTTGTTCGGAAGCAGGCCCAGTTAATAGGTTTAAAACTGTATTCTTAACACTGTCTCCAATTCTCGTGTTCACACTTGAAAAAGGATGTTGAAAAACTGGAAAGGACTGAAAGTCAGAAAAGAGCTTCAAGCATTATTGGAGATCTGGAAAAGATATCTTGCAGCGAGAGAGCTAAGATGCTCAAACGATTTAGTTCTAACCAAGAAATAGTTGAGTTGACTTGGCCATAGTCTGTAATCACCTATATGGGGAAGGGAGTTCAGTAGTACAGTGAGCCCTCGCTACTTCGCGGTTCGACCATCGCGGATTCACGACTTCGCGGACTTTTTTCATTACCGTGAATCCGCGATGGTCGAACCGCGAAGTAGCGAGGGCTCGCTGTATACATGTTAAATATGGTGTCCCTACTTCGCGGATTTTCAACTATCGCGGTCGGGTTTGGAACCTATCTACCGCGATAAACGAGGGTTCACTGTAAGTCCTTTAGTCTATCACAAAGGACTCAATGAGATCCTGTGATTAGCAGCTGAAACTCAGCAAATTCAGACTAGAAACAATGCACACATTTTTAATATGATTAAGCCCTGGAACAATGTCTCTAGAGATGTTGTGGATGCTCCATCCCTTGAAGTCTCTAAATCAAGATAAGATACCTTTCCAAAAGAGATGCTATAATAGATCAACCAGAAGTTATTGGATTGATATCAGAATTACTGGGTGAGGTTCTCTGGCTTGTGTTATGCAAGAAGTCATGCTAGAAGATCATAAAGATCCCTCCTACCCTTTAAAGTTTATGACACCATGAATTCTTCCTGAACAATGTACATTTGCTTGCAGCTTAGCATGCATATTGCTGAAATGAGCAGTATGAAGATATTAAAGTATCATAGAATCATAGAATCATAGGACTGGAAGGGACCTCAAGAGGTCATCGAGTCCAGCCCCCCGCCCTCAAGGCAGGACCAAGCTCCGTCTACACCATCCCTGACAGATGTCTGTCTAACCTGTTCTTAAATATCTCCAGAGAGGGAGATTCCACCACCTCCCTTGGCAATTTATTCCAATATTTGACCACCCTGACAGTTAGGAATTTTTTCCTAATGTCCAATCTAAACCTCCCCTCATATCACACTAGATCCTCTTCTTTGCCACTGCCTTCTTTGACATAAGCTGACCCAGTTTAGGAGCATCTGTTGAGACACAGCTAAACATCCGCAAGTGAAATCGTCTGCAGGAAACACTTGCAGCCCATAGAAATCTGTTTTGTTTCATCCTTTTTTAACAGATTTTTTTTCCAGAGATACTAGTCTGGGGAAAAGCAGTTGCTAACCACACATATTTCTAAGCAGGTAAGCCACACATCACATTTCTAGAGTCCAACCCTTACTCCAGTGGCAGGCTGGCATGGAGCCCGGGTTTGTCAATATCCAGGTAACTTCAAAGCCAGCAGAGACAGAAGAGAGAGAATTCCACTGGGCTGGAAGGGGTTACTGTCAGCCTGAGGAAGGTCTGTAGAATAAAACTGCATGCTGCACTCCACTCAGGACAGTAGGCAATACTGCATACTGGCCCTGAAGCACACTGTAATGCCTGATGCTGTGATTAGCATAGCAGAGGCAGCTCAGAGGCAGTGCATCTGTGCCAGCTGTGGTTAATGCCATGCCATGCACCCACGACAGCCCACAGGGTGACCCCCCATTTCTCCACTCCTCCCTCCCAGGAGTGAGGTGGGATTTGCCCACCGGGCTCTGCCTGTTTGACTCTCTCTGCCTTCTCTGCTTTGCCCTGTCTCCCTTGGCCACTGCTGTTGTTTGTCTGGCAGAGGCAGGAGACGTGTGGGAAGCACACAGCTGGGAAACAGGTGCTGAAAGGAAAAGCAAATACTGGGCAGGGCTGGCTGAAAAATTGGGAAATAATCAGGAGCCCTGGGAGATAATGGTTCAGCCATAAAGTGTAAGAGATACAGTCAGGGTGTAATTGCTCAAGGTAAAGGCTGCTGGGAGCTGTTCCAGCAGGGGCTTTGGCTCCAGCTCAGGAAACAAAAAGGTTTCCAAAACAAGACGGGTGCCAAGATCAAACTTCTCTGCCTTTCAGAGTGGCGCAAGGACATAAATAATCAGTTGCTTTGCATTGGACAGAAAGATGCCTCATCTGGTGGTTGATACGTGAGCAAAAGGGCAGCACGGGGAAAGTACGCAGCAGAAGAGTAGATGGTGGCTTCAGATTCCTCTCAGCTCACCAAGCGATTGCAGACGAGGAGGCGTCCCACCTCACAATGGATCCCCCAGGGCAAGCAGGTACGTCAGCCCAGCACCCTCTGCGGGCCACTGCTTCCATGCACACTGGCACGTCCAAGCAAAGAGCCAACTCTCTTATAGTACTCTCTGCTCAGACTGCCTGTCTGTCTGGATTATCTGCCAAATCCTGACTCTCAGGAAAAACAGCAGCTTCAGATTTCAGCGCGGCCTCCTTTGCAATTTTTCTCCTGGCAATAGGTTAACAGAAATGTTTGGCATATTCCACATCTGACCCGTAATCACAGGTTAAGGACCTGAATGCACAGAGAATGCAGATCAATTGCTATCATAGGATGGGAGGGTTTTACTTGTTGGACCCTATGAGTGGATGAGAGAGGAGATGGAAGTGGGAGGGGGGACTGAAGCACTTTCACAGACAGAAAAATTTCTGTCCCTCGTGTTTTAGGAAGAGAAATGGATTCTGGATTAGACCCTGGGAGTCACTTGGACATGCCCCAGTGTTCCTGTGACTCACACAGCTTGTCTGCATTGCTGGGATTTCTGCTGCTTTGCTCAACACTCCAGGAGCAAACAAGACTCCGACTCAGAACGGCGTGTTCCGCCTGCTAAAATGATAATAGCAAAGATGGCCACATTGAGATCAAGAGCCAGAGGAGATGGGGCAATGTCCCAAGGTCTGTGGTGAGGCACCAGTCACTCTCAAAGTTCACTTGAGAAAGAGACTTTTTGGAAAGCTGGTGGAGGACAGGGAAGGTCAATAGCCAGGAAGTTTCATGAGCTGCTCCAGCATCACCTGGTATGAGAATGGGGGACAAGAGTCATAATTAGAGTTGCCTGGAAAAATTCCAACTACCCGTTGTTTTGTGAGAATGTCCCCGTTTGGAAAATGTGAAGTGTGCCACAAAGACTGTCTGATTCTGCCAGAGTTCTGATGGAAACAGGTTGGCCAGGCAAGTTCTGAAGGCAGGTTTTGCTGGGGAGCCCCAGCTTCTAGGCTCCACAGCTCTGGGGCAGCCAACTAAGTGGACTGTCACAGGGCTAAGCAGGGCCTTTTTAGGGTCCGCAGGGTTCCACCAAGCGGACAGCCCCAGAGCTGGGATTCCATTCCTTGCATGGAGAATTGTGAAATGTTTGGGTTTCATTCCTAACACAGTTTGTGACATATCTCAAGCCTCCGTGCGAGGGAACTGCCTGTCTGCACTCAGCTCTAGTAGAAATTCTAACACTGTGGCCTTTTACAAAGCTTTGCAGCACAGATCTGAAAGCAGGGCTATTCTCCCCATTACACAGAGGGGGAAGCTAAGCCATAGAGGTGATTTGCCAGGGTCATGCTGCAGGCCCGTGACAAAGCCTGGAAGCCTGGTCTCCTAGCTCCCACAGAGCAACCGCTGGCTGAGTCATCATTGGATCAGTCAGGCTGCAGAGCCGGGTCAAGCAAACTGATCAGCTGATTTCTGACTCATGCCAGAATGGGCTTTGTATCTGCACTCCTCACTGGTTATGCCAGCACTTAGCTAATGACTTAGCAACACTAGAAGCACATTGAGCAGGGAAGTTGCGTAGGGACCAAGCATCTTCATTCTTGAGTGGCTTTTAGGTCTGGTCATTGCACAAAGGAAAGGGAAAACCAAGCAGGGACACAGGGACACAGGAACCCTCTCACATGGAAAAAACCTGTATTCCCTGGTGCAGACACCTGGCCTCTCTCAAGCAGTTTCTCCTGCTTTACAAGAAGCTGTTCTTACAAAATTCCCTGCCTCTTTTCCTCAGCCCCCAAGTCTGATGGAGCCATTTCTCCCAAACCCTGCTTCATCACTTTCCCTGAGTCCCTGCATGTGTGTGAGCAAGGGGTTAGCCCCTTTCTTACTGAATATTAGGGCTCCACTCTATGCAAGACATACTGTTATTCAGCTATTTCTTTCCTACTCTGGCCTAAGAACCCTACGCATAAATACATGCCATTTGCAAAACTAAACGGGGCAGCTCCTTCATTCCTGAGGATCCTGGGAGGAGATAGGAGAGAAGCAATTTAAGCTGCTGGCTAAGGGGTGAAAATTCTCATGGCAAGAGATCAGGGGTGCATAGGGTCCACCTGCTGGACAGGATGAGCATGGCATCATACTGTGCCTTTGGTAATGCTATCTCCCTAGAAAGGGTCTGGGATTGTAGACTCCTCGGTACAGTGACTTCTTTCTGTTTTGTATTTGTACAGCACCTAACGTAATGGGACCTTGGTCTGTGCCTGGAGCCTCTAGATTCTCCCACAATACAATACTAGTGGGCCAGTGCTGGTATTGTGGGGTAACACTTTTCTATGTTGCATTAAATTCCACTAGTGGGGTAAGCAAATCCCAGTTCTAAATATTTTGGGACTCATTTTTATCATCCAAGGCACAAATTAACTTATACCCACACCCCCTTCTGCAGGACCCCATTCCAGCAGCATAGCAAAAAAGGCTGAGGTTTAACATTGCCTTCCCCACCAGCTGTGCTGAATTCATGCAGCTGGAGAGGTTTATGTGAACCAAGAGAAAGACAGAACAGTAGCTGCAGGTGGTGTCTGCTCTCAGACACCAATAGCACAACAGAAAGAGAGGAGCAAAGATGAGATCAACAAATGCTTCTCACTAGGTCCATGATAATTCTTCCATTTCCTCTCGCTGGATACCCCATCCCAAACCAGCCAAGGACTCTTTAGAGTAAGAAGCGTGGCCAGGCATCCCAGGTATAGAACCTGCACTTTACCTATTGTCAGACATTCCAGGTGCTTCCTGACATTACACTGGAATGTAAAAAGGACGACCAGCAACCAAAGGGTTGGATGCTTCCTGTTTGTACATTCAGATGCGTGCAGTTCCCTGCAGGGCAATAGCCATCGCTTCCTCAAGTACCTTCACATGGACGATGACGTGAAGGAAATGGTGGCTATTACACAGCAGCCTGGAAACATCACAATGTTTCATGTCAACAGTGTTGAATTATTTAATTCTAATCATGCCAAAATAGTGCAATTATAATTTAACATTATAATATTAAATATAATGCTCAATGTAATAGATCACACTAGAGGATTTACCTGACATTGCTCGGGTCCTTGACTGAAATATTTTTTTATTTTCCTCATTTAAATTGTTCTGGGATAGGTCTGGGGATGAGAGGTCCAGTATGTAGGCTGCCCTGGGGCAACCCCAGCCCTCTGGCACCAAAGCCACCCAGGGACATGTAAAAAAGTGCCTGTCCATGGCTGCTGCAACGAGCACAGCTGGGAGAGTGGTGCATGTCCCTTGGCTGGGGGACAGACACACACACAAACTCCCAAATACATAGTACATAGCTGTCCCTTTCTCTACCCCTGCTGCCCCAATGGCGTTATGGCTATCCTGGTCCCCATCTCTGACCCTTTGCTGCCCTCCTGTGGTCATTATGCAGCATAACTGTACCTTTTAGCAGACCCTCCCTTTCCATTTTATGAGAAACAATCGCATTCCAGGCACATTCTATTGTCCTGGCACACCCAACCCCTTATCTTGCTTTAAGTTATGATAAGAGGAAGCTGCATACCAAATTTGGTGGTCCTAGCTCCTACCATTTAGGAGTTCTTGAACAAATAGACTCACAGACACACAAACTCTCTCAAACATATAGTAAATTAAAATGCACATAACCTGCTTCTGCTATGCCAAGTTATTAATTTCATTTTCAGCTTTATTTTTAGCCAATTTTGTATTGTATGCAGATATCCAAAACCTGGGAATTTTCAAGGCTCTCTCTATATACTATAATGAGCAATGTATATAAAATACATTACTCATTATGGCAGTATGTAATGTAATTAATAATCTCTTTGCAATGCTCCCTAGTACACTTTAGTGGAGTAGTGTTTCAAATAATACACTTGGGAACTCTTAGTGCACTCCAGCAGGACTTCTATGGACCAGTTTATGTGCAACACCTTAGTGCACATTATAATCCACAATCATGGAGCCTGCATTACTGCTTCATCTAAGTAGTGTATGTTTGTTTACTCAAGCTGTGAAGCATACTCCCAGCTGCAGAGTAGATGTGCCCGAAGAGGCACATAATGGAAACATTCAGCAGCATTCTATAATTCCACCAAGCGGGATTTAGATCCTTGCTGAGAAGCATTCAATTTGAATCTCAGACAAATTTGAAATGAGCCCTGGTTTGAGTCTGATCTGCATGTGTGAACCAGATGTAATCAGCTCTAACTCCGCTTGTGTTCACAAAGCTCTCAGAGCTGCATGCAAACTTTTCTGCTGCCTTTGGAGATCCAGGAATATTCTGAGGCTGCTCCTCATGTTCTCCATAGGGTTTTGACACTAAAATGGATTCCCTTGGAAATTTTGCATAAAAATTCCAGGATAGCCACAAGTCCTCTCTGTGGTTTGTGTAAACCCATAGTAAACTTAAACCTCTCCTCAGTTTATGATTGAGACAATGGTTCTCTTGATCCCAAGCCTTTCCAAATACCAGGACTTGCAAATCTATGTGAAATGCTTCTGCCGTGCAAAATAGCATCTTGACTTTTGCTACCGAGTTCATTGGAAAATGACCCAGCTTCCTAACACTCCCAGGGTATGTCTACACTACAAAGTTAGTTCGAACTAACGGACGTTAGTTCGAACTAACTTTCATAGGTGCTACACTAGCGCTCCGTTAGTTCGAATTTAATTCGAACTAACAGAGCGCTTAGTTCGAACTAGGTAATCCTCATTCCACGAGGATTAAGCCTAGTTCGAACTTACTAGTTCAAATTAAGGGCTGTGTAGCCCCTTAATTCGAACTAGTGGGAGGCTAGCCCTCCCCAGGTTTCCCTGGTGGCCACTCTGGCCAACACCAGGGAAACTCGTCTGCCCCCCTCCCAGCCCCGGACCCCTTAAAGGGGCACGGGCTGGCTACGGTGCCCGTGCCAGGTGCAAGCCTGCCAGCACCCAGCCAGCAGACCCTGCACCTGGCACGGATCGAGCCACCCACCCGATGCCCCCCAGCCCTCCCCCTCTTCCTGGGACCAGGCTGAC